TCAAATACGGGATTTGAGTGTAGAAATAAAAAATGAGTTTGCCAGCTGATCCAGCATCATTGCATATAATTGCCCCATCTCTGGTTGCTTGTCATGAGCTGTTGGCAATTGTTAAAATTAGCTTTACAGTCTGCCACAGATTAGCAGCAAGTGTGGTAAATGAAGACTCCCTCTTAATGAAACTAATTTGTATTTGAAAATATAACTACATTTATTGCCCCATTATTTAAATGCCTGTACGCTAGTTGATAGTAAAAATGAACCTTTAAACTGAAGTTTTAGAAATGCTAGCTGAAAAATAATCTTTTAAGGAGTGATCTTTTTTAAAGTGGCTTTCCAATGTCTTATGAGCATCTTGGGAAGCATTTCAGAAATAAATTAGAAATACTTTAAAATAAAAATACAAAGGTTTCAACATTGAAAATGACACAGGACATCATGCCCCATTGCTGATCAGCTTCTTCTGGAACCAGGTTCTGTAGCGATATGCTGTCTGTTTTCTATCACAGGAATTTTCTTTGAGTGTCCTGCACTCTGCTCAGACTTCCAGAACAGCCCACCCCACCGCACCGTATGCATCTGTTCACTGTCTTTCTCCTACTTTCACCTCTGATCTCCCTGAGAGCAGGGCCTGGTCTTCCCATTTTTATCTTTCCTAATTGAGGGCCTGATTTAAAGTAGATCTTAATAAACGTGTGATGAATGAGTGCATGCACATATGCATGAATTTGGGAAAGTTCCCTTCCTCGTGGAGCCGACAGTTTCTGCATGAAGCTGGTCCATTGTGTCTCAAAGACACACCTCACCCTAGATTTGATTTGGAAAGAACTGATTTTCCAGAACATCAGTCCATCAGAAGGCTCTCTGCTTTCTGGTCTTGTGCAATCTCTAATGATGTCTCCTTGCAGCTAGGGTCTCAACCTCCCGGTGATTACCTTATTTTCCTCCCTAATCAGCATCCAGTTCCTAATTATTTTAGCCAATTTCTGCCGGAGAACTGTATGTTTATTTTGGCTCTTTTCCCACTTTCTCACCACAGGAATGGGGAAGGACCTCCTCTCTTTGCTTTACCTTTGAAGAACTCTTGGAAGATTTTTCTTGGTCCCTTGATGCTAGAGAGACGCATACACATGGGTGCAGGGATGTATTCTGGGAAGACAGAGGTATAAACAAAAGAAAAAAAACCTCCTGTGTGACTGTCAGATAATCAAAGCTGATCCAGTCATCTGATCACACATAAAATGAGCAACTTGATTTACATTAGGTGTCAATGCGAGGTGACTGTAGGAATATGGAAGGGCAGAGCTGTGGGGGTTAGATGGACCATAGATAAAGCATGAGAAGACTTCATCACACATGAGTGATTTGTATCATGCGTCCCTTACAAAAATAGACAACAGAAGGAGGAATAACCATGAATAGCATGGCTCTCATGAGCTGATGCTCCAGACTGAGACTCTCCAAGGGTCTCACCTTCTGCCATGCCTCTCCTGGGGTCAGCACCTGGTCACCTTGAATGTGGAAAGAGAAGCATCATTTGTTAACAGGACCCCTGTACTTAACCACACAACCCAGCAATCCCACTCCTAGGTGTTACCCTAGAGAAATGAAAACTTATGTCCTCATAAAAACCTCTGTGTGACTGTTTATAGCCACTTTATTCATAATCAACTGGAAAAGCCAAATGCCCTTCACAGGGTGAATGACTAAAACAGGGCTGCTAGATGCAGGCAGTTTCAACTACTGAGGAGGCAGCAGGCCATGGTCATTTTGAACAAATTTGGTGAATGAGTTATATATTGCATGATGAGTCACCCCAAAACTTAGAGGCTTAAAACAGAAACAATGGTGTAGTGTGCTCAGGGATCTGCAGTTTTGGCAGAGTTTGGTGAGGAAACAGCTTGTGTCTGCCTCTCATGGTATCAGTGTCTTGACTGAGGCGGGAGGCTCAATTTCCAAGATAGCTCACCAGCAAGATGGCTGGCAAGTTGGTGCTGGCTGTCGGTTCCTCTCCACATGGGCCTCCCTTTGGGGCTTCTTGGGTTTCCTCATGGCATGGTGGCTGGGATCCAAAAATCAGGCATCCCAAGAATCAAGAAGTAGGTGCTCCCAGTTTCTTAAGGCCCAGGTCCAGAGGCTGGCACTGTGTCATTCCACCATATTATATTGGTCAGAGAACCATGGATCCCAGATTTGGGGGAGGTGATGTAGACCCCACCTTTCAATGGCAGGGGTGTCAAAGATTTGGGGGCCATATTTCAAAACCACTGTCCTTACCATTTACCTTCTGCCCTGCTAGAGACCTTGACTCCTGAGGGAGACATGCTTCCACTGAGACAGAAGACTCCCTGAATGTCTGCGGGAGTGTGCGGCACCAAATGCCTGCATCTGGCAAAGCCAAACCCTCCACTCTTCCCTCTGCCTCCCACCTCTCACTGCCCTCAAAGGCCCATACCTGAGCTCCTTGTGGGCATTCTAGTATGAGCATGGGAACCTCCCGTAGTAAACAGTAATGTGAAGCACTGTTATATCTTATTTTTCCCCCTTTTGTAAGCTAGATCTTTCTTGTTTGAGCATAGTAGGGCCTGTAATAGATGTTTTTCCAATGATATGAAAACCTTTACTATTTTGATGGGGCAAGATGAATGGTAGAACAACATAGGAAGGAACTAAAAGGAACACTTGTGTTGGGAGTGAATAAGGTAGGGCCTCAACACAAAAGAGTAAGAGGAACAAATTCACACTAAGGGTTTTTTGGCTCACAACTGCTTCATATGTGTGCCTTCCCAGAGAGAGCCATGCTGTAAAAGCAGTTGCTTAACTGGGGTTGCACGTATTCCAAAGAAATGAATCCTAAGTTTGAGACCTTGAGGATTTAACCAATACTACACTTTTGCTGCTGATTGGTACTGTTTTGCTTCTGGCTGGTACTGTTTATCTTTTCTGTGTCAGATCACTTGAATGATTTGCACAGAGCCTTGTCATGTCCTGTGAGACAAGCACACAGTGCTCTTTGGGGTGAACTTGAGCAGAGACTTCATGTTTGGGACAAGCTAACTGAAATCTTAAACTCAAAGTTGTAAATTGGGAGAATTTCTCTGAAGCTTCTTGGCACGCTGTCCCCTATCTCCTTCCACCTCCTTAACTTTTTCTGAGTCTTTTTACTTATCCTGGTAATCCTCTCCTTTTTTCTCTATTGTCAGGGAACCTGTCGTTTATAGAAGAAATTAAGTCATACTAAAGCGTTAGTGGCTGCCATAAGCTTAGTTCGTTGCCCTTCCCATAGAGATATTTGAGGTTTCAAAGGAGATCCTTGAGGGAGAGTGAATCTCTAATGCTAGAATTTACCTAATAGGATAATAAGAATGGGAGGATTTTTAAGGAAGAAGTTTCTTTTTTTGAACGCCCCAAGTGCTCAGTCTTTCTTAGAGACATAGGTATGTAAGTGACTTACTTGGTGAGCCTCTGGGTTATTTCCAGTTCTGCTCTGGTGGCCACAGTGCTCATCTTGCCAGGTCACCTGTTCCCCAGTACCCAGGAGCCTTCCTGTCCGCTTGTCTTCTGCTTAGCCTCAGCAGATGCCAGGTGGCTTGCTTTTTAGTAGTTAAATATGCAGTCTCCGTAATATCAGCTATTATATCTGCAGAACTACAGAGTATTTTACAAGTAATCAGTTCATGCAGATTGCACATAAATCATGTCTGCCCTGGCCCTTTGGACACTAATGTTCCCTTATTAAGGCATAAGTAAGCCTTCCTGTTCTCATCCATCCATCCAGACTTTTTTTAATTACTGAAAAGTATAGCCTGGTTGTCACGACACCACCCTTTTCCACTCTTCCCCCCCCCCCACACACACACTTACTGCTTTTTCAAGGTTCATTTTGTTTTTCTGGAGTTTGCCAATTTGCCTTAGGAAGCTGGGTACCTTGTGAATGGACTAAGCAAAAGGAAATTCTTATCTCTAACAGGAAGTGGTCTCCACGTTTCTGTTTGTGATATTCTTGGCCAGTTAATGTTTTTGTGAAATATGTTCTGATGGCAGCTCTAGTACCCCAGAGAAGGGGGAACATTGGTCATGTTCAGTGCACAAAAGGAAAATATCTTCTGCTGAAGTCTGGGGAGTAGATAAAAAGTCATTTCATGAATGTCATTCTGCCTAAACACAGAACCTTGATTGTTTTTAATTCCTCGAAAGGCTGGGAGCTGAGCCCACCCTAATATGCACATTATTCTAACATTTCTCCCATTTTTCTTTCAAACTGTAGCCACAGGTCTTCACTCTAATACACGTGGATTTCTGCTTCCAATTTCTCTGGCCCTGCTATTAGTATTCAACCAGTCTTCATTTTGGTCTAAAATGACTTTAAGAGCATGGAAGCATACTATTATTTCCTGTGGTTTGGTCTAAAAAAGAATTAAAGGGGGGACGTTTAGATGAGGCCTGTAAAAATACCACCATCTACTTTTAGAGATGTTTTATGAACATAAATTCCTGTCTAAATAATTACTGTTGAGGGCAGAAAGGACTTTGGAGTTTGGAAATTGTACCAACAACTTATTATCCTCTCTTAGCAACCACAGTGAAAGTGACACATCTCTTGTTTTGTTTTTTCCTCTCAGACGGGCTGACACCATAATGTACCATATTGCTTTTAAGATCTCATTTTTAAATCATGTGTACAGATGATAGTGGAACTGAGGCGCTCTGAGGTATTATTTTTCTCAGGGGAAAAAAAAATAGAAGACAGGTAATGCTTTTGGTGTCATTACAGGAGTGCAGGATGGCTGGTAATGGTGTCCTCACAGAAGGAGAAGCCAGCCTGTGTATGAGCATAGTTCCTCCAGTGTTCAGGTCATAGACTGACTTATACTCTGGGTTTCATAAAGGCTGAGATCCTTTATGTAATCGTCAGGGGTCTTTTATACTATGGTGTTTAAAAACAAAATCTCAGAAAAAAAAATCACTCTCCTTTTCCTTTTCTTGGTTTCCGCTGGCAGCTGCTGAAATGGGTTGCGGCTTGAACAAGTTAGAGAAACGCGATGACAAACGGCCTGGAAATATCTATTCAACTTTAAAGAGGCCTCAGGTGGAAACCAAGATAGATGTGTCCTACGAATACCGCTTCCTGGAGTTCACTACCCTGAGTGCCGGTGAGTGCAGGTGGCCCACACTCCTGGTGGCATGTGAGCTGGGACCCAGCCTGTACCTGAGGTCCCCTCCCACCCCAGAGCAGGGCTGGTGGGGCCTGACAAGGATATACTGGGGAGGTGGGCAGGGTGGGCGGCTGTGGGGACCTGGAAAAGATGGGCCTTCAAAAAGGTACTCTATACAGAAATCTAGATTTTTATTTGGAACTTTTCATTTTTTAAAAGATAGCAACTAATTGAAATTGTAACAAGTTAAAACCAGGTGTGAGTCAACTGGTACACACAGGTGGGTGGGCTGCCTTTGGCCCGCGGGGCAGCTAGTGTGCAGACTCTGTCGTAGTGAGCTGCGTGCAAAAGGAGAATTTGCCTTATCTCCTATTAACGTGCCTGCCCACCCAAATTTACCTGTCTGTTGTCTGGTATCTTTTAAGAGTGCTTGTCCATCTGGGCTTGGCTTTGCCTCAGCTGAGCCTGAGGGTGTCCAGGTCACACCACTAACACTGTCCGAGTGGCCCTGGAGTGACTGACAAGCAATAAGGTTTTCACCTGGAGTATTTATTTGCTGAGCACTGACTGTGTGCACAGCATTGGGCTGATGCTGTAGTTCAGTCATGCAGTGTGTCCTGGTTTCCTGGAGCTTCTTACCTAGTGGGAGAGAAGACTCATATACATGAAAAAAAAAATACCTCAACAATCTATAATTGTAAGTAAGAAAACATGTAAAGCATAAAATATGTTTTCAGAAGAGGAAAGATCATTCTTTCGGTGTAGGGCGCAGTCCCTAGAAGTTGCATGCAAACATAAGTGCTAATCAGGCATCTTGCCACTTTCTCCCTGGGCTGCTGGGTATGTTTTAAGCTTCTATTAACAGAGAAGAGGATTCGTGGGAAAAGCCCTCTATTTGGGAGTTTGAGTCTGGAGTGGCTGGGCCAATCACTAGGCCTGCTGTGTGCTCTTCTGTCAAAGGAGCACATAAAAACCCATCTCATGGGGCAACTGCAGAGACAAGAAGAGGAGGGGTCTGAGAATCCCTTAGCATGATGCGGGCACGTAGTAGGGCAGCTGGTGTCCATCCACTCCTCTTCCCATCTGCGCCAAGGCTCCCTTGCTTCTTGAGCCCTGAGAGACATGGCCAGCTGGGCGTCTCTGCAGGGATGTTCTGTGAACCCCTGCACGTCCCCCAAACGGAGCCCTGCATCCTCCTCATCAGATTGCCTTCCTGCTGTTGTCCTTGGTGAATGATGTCACCACTGTCTTCTCAGACAGACTTGTCACCTTAGTCATCTGTGATCATGCCTTCTCCTTGCCCAGGATTTCCATTGTGTCACCCAAGCCCTATTAAAACTAATTCTGAAAATGCTTGTAACGTAGCTAATGTAACACGAGCAAATCTGAACACAAAATTATTTGGAGCATTTGGTCATCCATTATTTGTTCCGTGAACATGTGAGTACCTACAATGGTCCAGGCATCATAGACCATGGTTAAGGAGAAAACCAAAGCATGTGTAGGAAAAAAGAATACAAGGAAATATGCCAACATGTTAAATATTGATTGTTAGTAAGCTGAGAAGATGGGGGCTTCTTTGTGTCTCTTTCATATATATATATATATGAATATATATCACACACATATATATGAAAGTGTATACATATATGTATATACTTTGCATCATGGTTATGTATTTTTTATTATTTAAGAAGGGTAAGTTTTGGGGCATCCCCGGTGGCGCAGCGGTTTAGCACCGCCTGCAGCCCAGGGCGTGATCCTGGAGACCCTGGATCGAGTCCCACGTCAGGCTCTCTGTATGATGCCTGCTTCTCCCTCTGCCTGTGTCTCTGCCTCTCTCTCTCTCTGTCTCTATGAATAAATAAATAAAATCTTAAAAAAAAAAAGGAGTAAGTTTTGCTCACAGAGATCTTCAGGAACGTGTGTCCTTCTCTGAGTACTGCTCCATCACTTACACCTGAGTTATTTCCCTCACCTTCTGATTTGTTGCCTGCCTTGTGCTCTGATCAGAGCACCCACACTGCTTTGCTGCACTATGCTTCCTTATATTAAATTACCTTTTGTTTCCTGATTATGAAATGAACATACCTCCATCATAAAAAAAAATTAGGAAACAGCTGGACAAATCCCAACTGGTCTCCCTGCTTCTACCCTTGTCCCCCTAGAGATCATGTCACTCTTCTGCTCAAAGCCCTGCATAGCTCCCCTCACCCTGAGTGGCACCAGTTACTCTCCATCCTTATCCTCTAGATGTTTGTCCTGCGTGTTTTGCCATTTCAGCCTTGCTATTTCTTGAACCCTCCAGGCTTTCTCAGAGCCTTTGCACTATCCTTTTCCTCTGCTTGGAAGTCCTCCCAGATATAGCCTTGGCTCAAACCCTCAGCTCTCTGGTTTTCTGTGAAACCTTCCCTGACCATTTATTTTAAATGTCTACTTACCCTGCAACTCCCCATCCCTTTGTCCTCTTGATTGCTCTCCATGATGCCTTCTATTGTCTAACATGCTGTATATCTTGCTTATTGTTATTTGTTGCTTATTTGTGGTCTGCCTTCTTTCATTAGAAGGTAGGATCCCTCTAACGAGTGCAGGATTGTGTCTGTTTTACCCTCTGCTGTACCCTCGATACTTAGAATAGTGCTTGACCTATTGTAGATAATCAATAAATATTTGTTGAATGAATACTTAATGTATATTTTTGTGTCCTGCTTTTTTGCTGCTTAACGTTGTAGAGTGAGACAGTACCCTGTCATCCCATATGTTCTCAAAATATGATTTAAAGGCTATATATGATTTAATCACTCAGCATACCATAATTTATTTAACGATTTTCTTTTATTGGAGATTTAAGTTATTTCGGGCTTTGGGCTATCATAAATAATGCTGTGATAAGCAGCGCTGTACATAAATCTTTGCGTGCATTTTTGATTATTTCCTCAGGAATTACTGAGTTGAAAGATATGAATGTCAAGACTCTTGACAAATTGCCCTCTAGATAGGACCTATTTGTGTAAAACACAAAGCTGATCATGCCGAAACCTTTGGCTGGTTCCCTTGGAAAAATGCAGTGGACATTCCACCCAGTGCTGAGGACCTTCCCGCTCAACTTTGCACTTTGTGGACCATCCCCTACTCCTGCCTTGGAGCACAGTGGGCTGTGCCTCCCACCCCCATCCCAGCTTCTGCTCTGCTCCTGTGGCACAGCGTCTGCCCCACCCCTCACTGCTTGCCAGAGTCCCACCACCCGAAACTGTTCTCCCTGACATCCATCCTGCCACACTTACTCTCTTTGGCATGCCTGTCGTTTGTCAGTACCGTCCTTATGACACTTTTATTACATCATGCATTAAATGTATTTGTGTTTCCTTGAGGGCAGAGATCAAGCCTTGCTTATCTTTCTGTGCGTCTTTCTTGTTCACACTTTTTAGCTGAGAATAGCATGTCCTGAATAACTGGGTTCTAGTCAACCAAAGTAAGTGTGACATATGCTCACCTGGTTCCCTGGAAGCCCATCAAGTTCTTTTCCAAAAGTTCTAATGAGGGATCCCTGGGTGGCGCAGTGGTTTGGCGCCTGCCTTTGGCCCAGGGCACGATCCTGGAGACCCGGGATCGAATCCCACATCGGGCTCCCGGTGCATGGAGCCTGCTTCTCCCTCTGCCTGTGTCTCTGCCTCTCTCTCTCTCACTGTGTGCCTATCATAAATAAATAAAAATTCAAAAAAAATATCAAAAGTTCTAATGAGATCATTCCTTATTGCTCCAGAATGAGCCAGCATTTGTTGAGAGCCTGCTATGTGCTAAGTCCTGTGATGGTGCATTAGGTCTTCCCAACGTTTCCAACTTTATCAAAATTAAAATAAAATAATTTAAGCACATTACCCTGCAGGTATTTAAAATGTTCAAACCCATGAAACCATGACCTCATCAAGATGCAAAACATTTCCATCTCCTACAAAGTTTCTTCGTGCTCCTTTGTAATCACTCCTTTTTTTCCAGCCCCCTGTCCCCAGACAACCAGTGATATGCTTTCCATCACTCATTTTATTTTCTAGGATCTTCTATGAATGGAATAATGTGGGACATACTCTTTTTGGTCTGGCTTTTTTCACTTGGCTTACTTATTTCGAGATTCATTTGTGTTGTTTTGTGTGTGGTAGTTCATTCTTACTTTACGGCTGAGTAGTATTCTCTTGTGTGGATGTACCATAGTGTGTTTATCCATTCATGTGTTGATGGACATTTCAGTTGTTTCTGTTAGGGCTGTTGCAAATTAATATTCATCTTTGTGTGGCTTCTTATGTCATTTTATTCTCATGGAAACCCAGTGAGCTACATGGGTACATGCATTCCTTTTCTGCGGTTGGGTAACCAACACTCAGAGAGGTTAAGTCACTTTTCTAAAAGACGCAGTACCAGGAAGTGACTGGGGTGGAATTTGAATTAAATCTCAAGGGCCCCAGAACTCCTGTGCCTCATAAACTGCAAGGTGCTAGACAAATGGGCGTCAGCACCAAATAGAACATTCTTGTTAGAAAATTTGTTATCACCTAGAGGGGCATAAGGGGATAGTCCTCTTCCATAGGGTTTTAGACACAGAAGATTTTTAAGTAACACTTGATAGGCTTATTTCTCATGGGGAAGTTGCTCATCTGACTTTAACAAATTATAAGTTGGGGAGAGGGTGTGGGCCTCTTCCACCTGGTGGCTTAGACAGGAAGGGGACATGTGCACTTTTACAAAAGTCAGAATCAGACTTGACACTGTTTTGTCTGTCCCTTACTTAGAGCTCTGAGCTACTGTGGATGATGTCACAATAGGCAGCCTCACTTGTTGGGCTGACTGAGGTGAAAAGCAGCAGGATTCTCAAAGTGAAGCACATAAGCTGCCCAAAATATCAATTCTGAGTGATTTGATTTGGTTTCAAATTTTCAGTTAACTCTGGTCACCAAGGGATGAACCTGCCCTTTGATGGATTTCATCACAGATATAGGCCCATA